AAAAAAAAAAACCCCAAATTTTGTAAAATAAAGTAATTTAGAACAAAATTGCTGTCAAATTAAGACAGTCGTAGAAGAATTGATTCAAAACTCCGAGACAAAAGTGGTGGTGGGGACATTGAAGTTGATAACCTTTGAAACACTCTCGCGCCCCATAGAAAATCTCTCCCGAAGCTTGACTAAAACTCGCCACTTGGGCCCAAAGATCCATTGTTTTTTTGGTGGGAGTAGTACTTCCCCATGAACTTCTCGTACATGTCTTCGCCCAATCCTTCTAAGTGAGATCAGGAGAAAAGTCATATACCACGTCTTCGCCCGGACCTTCAATATGGAAAACACAGCATCCAGAGTCTGTGCTCATGGAGGCCTTGTACAAAAAAGTATTGACCATTGAATAGAATTCTCGTATGAAGTTCAAGACGTCCTCTTGAGGTAAGTCATCTAAGGAGGGTAATTGATTGAGATAGATAGTCTTCAAATCCTAGTTTTGAGCCGCCTCTCCAAGCACGAGACAAGAAGTGTTATCTCCAATAATGGGTCGCGTGAAATATCTCATGTTCGGAGGCGCGGTGGTAGTAGTTCCTCTTGGTTTGTCATGGTTTCCAACTCGAGTTGCGTCTCATCTATGTTTAGCTCAACGTAGAGATCAATCGGCGGTGTCTTCTCTCGAGTACCGCGCTTTTGTCTACCTCGCATACCACAAACAAGAAATTATACCCGTGAAGGCACCAATGGAACAAGAAACCAATAACAAAAAAATAACCACAAACTAACTACTAAAAACAAGATAAAGAAAGAGAAACACGAAAATTAAGCAAAGAGCACAAAAATCAAGAGAAACACAGAATAAAAGACAACTACAATAAATAAACTTAACTTCCTGATTGTCTTTCCCGGCAACGACGCCGTTTGTTGAGTTGATTTTTAGGAGAATAAGTTGATAAACAATTTATTCGAACATCGGATCGTCTCTCAAGAAAGACTATTCGAAACATTGTTCACTTCGTTCGTTTTCGAATGCACAAAAAGGATAATAAAGTCCTAATCATTCTAAACAACCAATTTGAGGAGTTTTTAAAATAATTTAGACTAAAGAATTGAAAAGCGATTAACTAAAGATGAAAACTTTTGTGGTTTTGTTGTGTGTTGTGTTCTAGGCTACTCGTGGGTGTAGTTCTCCTTTATTCGGCTAGTGAGCCGGTTAATTATGTGTTTGTTTTTTTCTTTGAATTTGATCGTTTGGAAAAAAATAAAAATGAAAACTTTAATTAAAGACCTAAGCTTTATGTTGATAAACGGATTTGATCAACTTTTTATATTTGAACTTTAAGATTAATGCGGTAATGAGACGACTTTATTGAATAACTGGAGAGTACTTAAGAAAATATCAAGTCGGTTTTTCAAGGACTTGAGGTCGGTTTTTTACAGTGCAATGATGTTAAAACTGGCGAGAGCCGAGGTGATTAATGCGGAATTTATGTGTCGGGAAAAAATCCTCGTATTGCCTTTATTGCTGCTATTTATAGTAACTGGGGGCTCATCTTTTGAGGAGATTCGGCGGCATTTAATGCGGAATGACATTTGCGCAGCCTTTTTGTCAGTGGGCCCCCTTCACGCAATGATGTCTCCACATGGGCCTTGAACAGTCGATGGACAAGCATTAAATGCTGCCTGTCGGCTCCGACGTCGGCCTGCGCCCGAGGTTGCTTTGTTCTAGAGGTCGGCTTCCAGACAAGGTCGGCTTCCACAGGTCGGGCAACATTTTCTCTGCACTCCTCGGCCAGGTCCCTTTACTTTCTCGTCGTCCACGTGTCGTCCATCCAACGCTTGAGTGAATTTTTAGGTCAACATTAAGGCCCCTGACATTGAG